GGCCTTGATTAAAAAAGATCGCTAGGCGGGTGGGACAAAAGAGGATCGTCAGCTGTGAGATTCGAACTCACGCGGGTTGCCCCATTAACTTAGCAGGCTAACGCCTTAACCACTCGGCCAAGCTGACTTTCGGATGAAAATTACACATTCAATTTTATACGCATAAATGCCAGTGATGACAACCTGTACATAAAGCGATCTTCACATCATTATTAGAATCATATCGGTGCCAACCACATGCTACATAAAAAAGAATCGCTCATATGTCCTCAAGAGCCCTCAATAACGCGCTTTATATCGACCCTCCTGAGGCCTACACACACTCCATTACCGCCACCAAACTTGCTCCAAATATCACATGTGACTACTAGAGTACCTAAATCGTCTCCTTTCATCGCCTATATGGGCCACATAGCGTCCTCGCTGCTACATGGAGCTCGACATGCATATACCTCTATAAATCGATAATGCGTTTTACTGTCAAATCGATCGATGGAGCCCTCCTTCTTGACGAAAGCATCACCTCTACGTACACACCGTACCTACAGCTTATTTTGGTGACTTGGACTACCGAGAGATCGATGAAATGAAGGATATAGCTTCAGTTCTTTTCAACCATAATTTAGATGATTTTCTGGCCGTGAGATGACTTATTCTAGCTACACCAGTATACGATTTCTATATTTTTGTGCAAATTTTCACTCATTCGATAAATAAAACTATGAGAAAAAAGTTTACTATCCAAAATATTGCTTGAATCGGGCTCTCGGAAGAGATGCTCGATCGTATGCATCCGGAGGCAGGAGTTGCTAAACTTGGCAATTGAAAACTGAGGACGTTTTGTATTTTAGCAATCGCCATCGAGTCGACAGGTAGATAGTATGGTCATTCTAGCGCCCTGTGGCTTCGGGAATAAATCTCGGTCAAAGCAACGACGTGTTTGGAGCTTGAAAAGATGTGTATTTTAGTACTTGGTGGAGATAGTAGAGAAATGTTCCATACTGCACTTGCTCGCCGTACCACCCACTCTACCAAAACGACAACTAAAGTGCAGTTTGGAGCTGGTTTTAGTTGCATGAAATTAATGTTTAAAAAAGGCCTTGATTAAAAAAAGATCGCTAGGCGGGTGGGACAAAAGAGGATCGTCAGCTGTGAGATTCGAACTCACGCGGGTTGCCCCATTAACTTAGCAGGCTAACGCCTTAACCACTCGGCCAAGCTGACTTTCGGATGAAAATTACACATTCAATTTTATACGCATAAATGCCAGTGATGACAACCTGCACATAAAGCGATCTTC